GAACCGAACCGTGAATTTTGTGTATCGTTGCACCCCTATAGTAAGCACTGTTCCCACATACTGAAAAATAGAAAGAACCTACCACAGGGCCAGGTGTTATACCGCCACTTCATAACTATTTTCTCATCTGGAACCTGAAAGCAAGAGGACTGGTGTTAGAATTTACTCAGGTAAAGTGATGTTAATGTGGTGCAGTACAGTCAAGTAAATGATTCATATACACAAATGCTTATTTTTAAATGTCATAGATCAGACTCACCAGCTCTGTGAACTCGCCCAGAATATTTCCATCTAACAGACGAAACTTTCCGCCCTTCTCTCCATCCACTGTGGCTGAACCACGTGTGAACGCTTGAACCATCTGTTTATTGACAAGAAGCCCCAAAATCAAAAGAAGCAAAGTCCATTTTTACTGAAAGACTTAACGAGACACAACCACAGCCTGGGTTTCCAATCAAACACACAGCTGAGGCTCACCTCATTGTTCAGAAAGACCCTGTAGAGTTCAGCTGGTGAGGTGAGAAACGTTTCTTTCAGTGTAAATTTACAGGTGGGGATCTTGACGCCGGTGTTGACAGGAGTGGCTGTGCTGGCAGAGGTGGAAATCTGTTCCACACAAGCACAGAAGTCTGGTGAGCACGGATCAGTTTAGAATAGAATAGAATAGAATAATCCTTTAATTGTCCTACAAGGGGAAATTTGGTTGTAACAGCAGCCAAAAAGACACATATACAAACAAACAGTACACAGGACACGGAACAGAAACATACACAATTTTTCTTACATATTTACATTAAGGACAGTGGTTACTATATACAGAGAGTACTGTACAGTTATTAAATTAAATAAAAATAACTACAGATAAGAGGCAAAGCAGGTTGTAGTGCGAATCGGTTACTTAACTTATTGCAGTTACAGCGCAGATGTAAACATCTATGTTTGTTGGGAGCAGTTCTGATTGTACAGTTTATGCGCCATAACTAAAGCCTGGTTTAGACTTCTGCAGAAACGTCATAATTTTTGATGTAACTAGAAACTGCTTTAAACCTTCCACGTAATCTGACATGAACAACAACTGAATGGTGGGAATTTAACCACAGAAAGCAGGCTTAACACTGCTTTGGGTATCAGAGTAAATAAAATGGGGACAAAGTGAGTGTCAAAGTACAAAATCTTTACTATGTGATTGATGTGCACCAACCTCAGTTTTATCCAGCTTAGCTTTGGACTGTGATGTGGACTGTGGTTTGGCCACACCATTGGCTGTAGGTAGGATCATCCCCTGTGTGAATTCTGCAATTAAAAAAAGAAAGAAGAGTTTGTATAAATATAAGCATTTGACCCTTTTCTTTAACCTAAACTGAATCTGGAAAACTCCTGACGCAAATTCTACCCAAAAAGAGTTTAACGATTATACAATCATGCATAATCTCAATGTGTTCAAAAATTAGGCTCTGGGAGAAATTTGCTGTTCGTTAGCTCACCTGTTTTTAAGAACCCAACGTAGCTCTGCAGTGCGTCGCGGAACTTATCCACTCCTTTCGTTTTCATCAGGTTCATCAGCAGCGTGTCGGGTTCATCTTTGTTCAACGATACAGAAATCTGGACACGACACAGGAAAGTAAACTCGGTAAACTCTTCCTCCACCTTCCAGCCAGCCTGAATCAGTGTGCACATGTGCTTTGGTGAAACTTACATCAAGATCCTCCATGTCATTTTCATCAGACAGGTTTGGAACTTCAATTGTTCCTTTATACTTGACTCCTGCTTTTGACTTTCCTGTTCAAACAAAAAAGAATAAACATGTCAGCAGAGATTCAAAGCCTCTTCAAACCTGCCTCCTATTTTAGCAATGATAATAAAAATGCAACATATTAGCTCAGTCACTCTTCTCTATTAGCCACTGAAGCTTTTTCCCCCTATTAGATATAAAAATCTACCTGTTAAGGCTGAGCTGCAAAACTTCAACATATAAGAGATCGTGCCCTGCATTCAAGATGTTTGCAAACAAGCTGGCACAATGCTGATTAAGTCTCAGTGCCTGCTAAATTATAGTCTGGAAGCAATGACGGTAACTGCCACTGTTAGCAGCCAAACGACCAGTTTCAGAGATGCAATTAAAACCAAACTACTGCCTTAAATGAAACAAACAATAATGCTAGTTTTCTACTTACCAGTCCAAGTAGCTTTCACGTTCCACTCATAAAAGAAAATAAGTTTCCCTTTGCGGTTGTTAATCGAGGCCTCTCCTTCCACCTTGCTGACTTCTGTCACTTCACACGTTCCCTCCTCATTCTCCACGCTCAATCCAAGAAGCAGAGATTTTAACTTATCTGATGACCAGTTTGTTGCATCTCTTTCCGTCCTGCAAAGTCCAGCAAAGACCAAAGAGATAAGTGAGCACATCTGAACAGGGAACGTTTGGCAAATGTGAGGCTAGAATGGCCAAGATTTACCTGCTCAGTCACATTAATTGTAAACTAGCAAGAGGAAGATCATGGTACTTGGATCTGCTCTCTTATTCACAAGGAGTTGTCACAGCGGGAAGCTCCACATGTTTAATTTGGCAGAGGCTTTACACCAGATGCCTTTCCTACTGGAACCTCTCCTCACATATGTGGCCACTCATTATGCACTAGTTAAATGTGTTAAAAAAATAGTATGATGATGAGGATTAAGACTGTAAAACATTAAAATGAAGGGTTCTTTATTTTTATTTTCATAACACAAAAGGGGGGAAATCAAACAAAACAACAACTGTGTACAGTTGTTGTGTACATTAATGGTAACTACTCAGGACGTCACAACTGGATCACCCAGTCAGATGGCCTCTGACATCAGCTTCCTAATCCTCAGCTAGATACAAATGTATTTTAGGAGGTGACCACAGCTGGAAGGTGGGCACAGACCGGCTTAAGTGACAAATCTGAGGAACCACATTCTAGTTGACTGGTGACAGCGCCCCTTGCTAGTAATAAGTATGGCTGCTACAGAGAAAAGTCTGTAATCAAATGCTCCGGGATCATTACAGAAGACGAACAAATGCCATATTTACAAACTATGAATTCATTCGTATTATTTTGCATAGAGCAGCTATAAAAAGTGCAGTCACGTTGTAATTGGGGCTACCACACGTGTTCTGGTGTAACCGGTGAAACATTGGTAACCGTAAACTTACCAAATGCGAGAGACTATAAAGCTTGTTACTACACCAGAATACTGCAGTAGATACAGTTAGTCATGCTGC